ACCGTAACGTTGAAGTTCCATAGGAATATCAATGGAATATATATTCTCAAAAAAGTGTCTGACCTCCACTCATAGTCAATTTAGTTTGCTGAAGTAAAGGCTTACACTAAACTCGAGTTAAAATTAAAATTTTAAGTAAAAGAAGTAAATCATTGTTTTGAGCATAAGGACCTAAACCTCAAGTGACGTGAAACCCCAAGTGACGTGAAAAGAAAACAATGATAGGCCTGAGCAAAATCTGCCATGATTGTATGATTTGACATGTTCTCAAATGAAGTTAAAACCAAAATTCAGTTTGTTTGTTTGTTGGTTAACTCCGCAGTATCATACTATCTGACACATTCAGGACACAGGTATTTCTCTTGGGACCATCGGATTCATGCTGGTTGGTTTGTTGCTTAACGCCGAACTCAGCAATATTCCAGCTATATGGCAGCGGTCTGTAAATAATCGAGGACCAGACAATCCAGTGATCAACAGCATGAACATCGATCTACGTAATTTTGGATACGATGACATGTGTAAACCATGTCAATGAGCCTGACCACCTGATCCCGTTAGTCGCCTTGTACGAAAACAGCATGGCCAATTCATGAAAACAAAAACAAAACAGTTGCGATTTTTTAACCTTATTTTTCGGGTGATACAGTAATATTTATTTCTGTTGGAATGAAGCAGAAATAGAGTTTTGGTTTTTGTATGAAGTAGTTCTGATTTGCATGCGCCAAAATGAAATCCTTCCAGAGGGGCACGAGTCGGTATTCGACCTGACTCGGAATAACACGAGTTGGTTATAAATGGCTCAAATTCGTGACCCATTTGTGTTGTTCTGGGCCAAGCCGAAACGCGCCCCTCTGGAATATTCGTCACCATTCATTCCTTTCCGTAACAGCCAAGATGTTCCCCTATCGATGAAAATACGACAAGCCAAACAGAATGCGCGTAAGGATTATTGATAAATGTAATCCCGAGTACTAAAATCGGTAATGGCATTATATCTACCATTGTTTCATAAATCATGGGTTCGAATCCCCACATTGGCACAATGTATGAAGCCCATTTCTGGTGTCCCCCGCAGTGATGTTGCTGGAATATTGCTAAAAGCGGAGTAAAACCAAACTGTCAGTCAGCCAATAAGTTAGGAACTTTAAGAAAACTTTCATGTTTTTGGTAAAATAATTATGGTTTTATTTTAGACTGACTGACTGAGTTTGGTTTTACGCCACTTTTAGCAATATTCCAGCAACATCACGGCGGGGGACACCAGAAATGGGCTTAACCCATTGTGCCCATGTGGGGACTCGAACCCGGGTCTTTGGCGTGACGAGCCAACGCTTTAACCATTAGGCTACCCCACCGCCCCTTTATTTTAGAAATAACCTCAATATCTTAATATGTAACTTGTTTGATGTACATTGCTTTTGGCATACTGTTTGTATATAACTTTTATGTTGTATGATGTATGAATGGAAATATTGCTTTGGTCCTCTTAAGCTGCAGTTTGCAGTAGAGCAAATGGAGTTCAGTTCAGTCAATTTGTAGCCCCAAATGGGAATGTTTCAGCTGCAGTTATCTGTATGGTATACAACACGACTGGGATAGATGGTTTATTGTTTATTCTTCACGTCATCTGTTGTGTTATATGATGAAGCCGTGACACCGTGACGATCCGAGAAGATTAGTTAGCGATCAGTTTTAATTTTTTGCCTCGCTGAGACATGTTTTTCCATCGTAAATATTCCTCGAATGCCACACCAGTGATGGCAGCCAATTTAAACAACTGCTTACCAAGAATGCTGCCGATTGTACAAGGAAATGACAAGTGACATGCATCGTGATGTCGTTTACCAGGCTTACGTTTGATTACGAGGGGTCATACTAGAATGACCTAGTGACGTCAATACAGTCAAAAGAGTGTACTTTATCGCCTGATAAATTACTGTCCGCGCCTTTGATCTTTCAGCGTAGCGTCTTAGAATTAATAATAAAAAATAGGATAATGTTGTCTCCAAAAATTTGTTCACTTTGTCACCAGTAAATCTGTCGTTAATGATCACATGCAGGACACACACTACTACTCTTACTGCTCAGTATAAGTATCAGTTTCTTGACCGAGATTCTTCTCACCACATGGCACAAGAACGGCCTGAACAATATCATATTTACATGTATGAATACAGATACAAACTGCGTGTGCAAAGTAAGCATTATGTCGGAAAGCGCACAAATAATCTCCAAATCATCATCCTCAGACACAAACTGAAAAACAAATCTATTCCACAAAACTATATGACACAGGGATGACTTCACGAAATGAGTCAAAAAGTTTAACCAAAGCTTCAGGAAATCGATGATCTCTTAACGTTCAGTAACAATCAAATACATGTAGCCAATCCACTTCCACTTAATACGTGAACTTGAAATATAGGAGGTCTCTTCATTTGTTTGATATTAGATCTTTGCATAGAGATTCAACGTGACAAAGTCTTCTTTGGCAACAAAGGGATGAATTCAACTTTCCAGAAGTCAACTTTTCAACTTTTCAGAGTGACAAAAATGACGTATAACAACACGGGTGACTTCAACATTACAATAGTCAACTTCCTCTGTATATTAAACAAAACATTTAGCCTTTGATGTTTACATTTCACATCTTTGTGATACGTCAGAGCTTCCTCTATTGAGAGTATGGTGAGATGTTGTTCGATCTGCATTACAAGAATCAATGCCTCAGTACTGCTTTCAAAAAGGGTTTTATGGGGAACGTGTGGAGGAAATTTCGAAATTTGACGCAGCAATGACAAAAATGATTAGGGGTGACTGTTGAAGGGGGAACAACTATTGCAATAGTATTTTCTCCCTGAACTGTCTAATTTGGAGTCATTTCCCAAATGAATGTATAGTTTATATGAAATAAAAACGAGTTTAAGTAGTTTCAGTCCCTTTTTAATAACTGACAAGAAACTTGAAACACAGATCAATTAAACAGTTAAAACATAAACTCAATGAAGCTGCAAGCCTGCACCCAAACAATAAAAAATACAAAAGAACATAAATATTAAATCAAAATAAATAACCATCAATTACTAAACTATCGATAGTCACACATAGTATCGATGTATTGATAGTTTACGTTTCTACCATCTATTAATTGCTATCGGAGACTCAACAATTGCAATCCGTCGATAGTTCGATGAATCGTTACAGCCCTAAAAATGATGTTTGATTGATTACCCTATTTTGACTCGCTCTACACGTTCCCATGGTTTTTTTTGGCCAGATGAACAATTGCTAGCCTTAGTTTGGATTAATATATGATGGATATTATGACCTAAAATGAATCATTGTTCAGGCGTTTAATCACTGGTTTCACTGATATTTTTTCTACTTTCTTGAACATGCTATGATTGCCATAATCATGATGGCATAGTTGTTTCTTTTTTCACTTGTGTGAAACGCACTAAATTTTACCAAAGTATGTTACATATATCTGAATTCCAATAACGGGATGGTGATGAATAGTCGGTTTTGTTGAAAGGACTTCATATAAAGTTCCACGGGGTCATTGTGGAATCAAGTCTGGAAAGGTTTGAGATTTGTGGTCGTTATTGTTGTTGGTGCTGTTGTAATTTTATCGAAAGGAAGATACAGAATTGGGCTATATATTTCAACATTTAAGCCGTTGACTCCATCATGATAAATACAGTGTTAACCATAATAAGGTTAACAATACCATCAATACCGCCAATACCACCAATATGCCCTTTCTTAGTTCATTTCTAGCTTTGACCACCACCCAACTCCCACCCACCCCACCCCACCCCACCCCCAAAAAAACACAAACAAAACAAAGCGAAACAAAGAACAAAAACAAAAACAAAACATAACAAAAAATAAATTTAAAAAAAGCAACCAAAAAGAAAAAAATAACAAACAAAACAAAACAAAACACAAATAGTCATCCTAGAATAACATGAAGAAACGATTATTTTCTGAACTCAAGATTGTGGAATAATATCGCCAACACCACACAAAATGACTGTATTACCCAAATTTACTAACGTCAGGAAATACTCGTTTCATCCGGCGGCCATATGAACAACGTTTGAAATCTACGTATCATCTGGCCGTCAGATTTACACACGTTTAAAGGGTGTTAAAATAAACGAACATTCGACTCTGCATTTACATGTATTTCACAGGTGTGTAAATCTGGCCATTGTTTCCATGTGTTTCCTAACATGTGTAACATATGTAAATGCTGTGATTGTAGGACATGCATTTCAATACCCTTGAAATCTCGTATGACCAGGGTTAGGTTTGTCATATATTTTGTACATGCGTAAATGGTTGGAAATGAGTAAGTATAGTGTTACAAGATTAGCACTACTTTAACATGTATTTCAATGGTGCTGTAATGTAACTGTCACATGGGGTTCGTTAGCGCGTTCAACCACGCCATAATGTACTGAGATAATTAGTAACACATGGTGAAGTGATACCCATGACTGAGCACCACTTATAACGTACGTGTCTTTCTTGACATACACATGGTGTCTGTTTAAAAGGTTCAAATATCGGGTCTATGGGCCAGAGCGATATGTATGTTAGGGTGTGTGTGTATGTTGTGCGAGGGAAGGGTGTGGCATGGGGGTAGGCCTAGGGTGGGAGTGGTGGCGGTGGTCGGTGTTGGGGGTACTGATAAGTCTTTCTGACCAATAGGTAATATCATTTATACTTTTTGTAATGGAAATTACATAACAGTTTAAATAACTGACCTTAGGTACCCACTTCTTATATATGCTATACTAGGAGACACTGCTAATTACAATAAAACACAGATCTAGACGAATGTGTTCACACAGACATGAACCGGTAGGTCCCTAATTTTAGTGCTCACTTGTATGAGTTATCCGACTGATCATAACTGAACAAATTTCATTATCTATACTTTCATAAAAGATGATTACAATGTATTAATGATTCCCGGTGTAAATAACTTTTGTAAATGTGTGAACATGCACATACTTGGTGTGACCTCTTTTTGATTCGGAATACAGGTATTATTCCATACGGACGTTTTCTCAAATTTCAGTTACCCGACGGAATATACTGTAGACATATTTTGTTTCCACCTCTTGGGTAGACTAAAGAAAATTATAGTGATTGCAATTAGCTCATAATTTTCATATTAGACCTATTTTGTTTCCATCTGTTGGGCAGACTATAGGAAATAGTAGTGATTGCAATTAGCTCATAACTAAGCAGTTTCGATAATTGTTGAATGCTTACTACCTGACAGCATTATGTTGCTCATGCGTTTTCTTTTTTTGCTTTGCTTTTTGCTGTCTAATTTGTTATACATTATATAATCATGTTAATCATTTTGGTATCTCAATATCATGGAATATAATATGTACTTATTAATCTATCAAAGTACCGAAACGTATTATCTGTATGCTTTACTGTTATTGGGTGAAACTGTTAAAAGTACCTTCGTACAGAATTTCGTGGAAACAGAAAATGAAAATTACTAGATCAGTGGAAAACTAAATTGGATAAAGATCGCAAACAATCATTATTTATATTCCACTTTTTAAATTATCAGTGTGCAGATCATGTCACTAACATAAAAGCTGAAGGATATATGGTGACAAAACTGGGTTCAATCTTAAATGTATAATAAATGTACCAACAGTATCAAGGAATGATGGGGTACGCTCGTGCCTAAAGCGTTCGCTTGTCGGGTTAAAAACCGGTGTTTGATTCCCGACAAAGGCACATTAAGACTGAAAATATATTATTTTGATAAAAGGCAAAGATCTTAATATCAATTGAAAAAAAAAGAGACGAAGTAATTTGGACTAAAACGTCTATATTGGGGCTACAGGTGCAGGAAGCATCTTCAATTATAAAATCACATTCCACAAATATCAGATAAAGGTTTAAATGACAAGCATATTTATTGGTATCTTGCCAAGCTCTGTCCTCTCCCAATGCAGTATAACCAGAGTGCTGTGGTCACTACCTCCGGTGGCTAAATTCAGCAATCCCATTACTTTACAGTATTTTCTTACAGGCATATATTGGAAAGTTAACTTTTACGGGTATGGAAAGAGTGGGTGTGTGTGTGTGGGTGTGTGTGTGTGTGTTATTATGTTGTGGGGGGGGACACGTGCAAAGTGTTAGTACGCTGATATTATCCTTCAAAACATCATATGTACAACAATCACTTATCATTATGGCATTACAAAGGCCATATTTCCAGACAGCATAACATCACCTTTGGCTGGAGTTCCAAATAATTTGACACCGAAAGCCTGTCAGTTAACCCAAAAATAACCCTTGTGTTTTAAAGTGATAGGCACAATGAAGTGTAGGTTGCCATGCATTTTATAGTCTGTCTCACAGTCCCTGAACCACATTATTTTCCTTACTGTTTAGTCTGTCTCACAGTCCCTGAACAACATTATTTCCCCTACTGCCAAGCCCTCTGTGCAATGCTAAAGCCTTAAATGAAGCAAGTCTAGATCTCCTCAGGTCCAGGGTCTGTTAACATCTGCAAGAACCCTAACTCACTTTGGGGGTCGGGTTACAAAGTAAACATATCTAAAGCTAACTGCAGCCATGACTAGCCAGACTGAATCTCGTGTCTCCCTGGGGCTCAATTTAAATGGGCTTGTTTGTTACTATCAAAATTATATATATTCAGACACTAAGCGTTAGTCTATGTATTTTCCGATATGATGGAAATACTAATATGGACCAGATAAAATTCTAAAGGAGCCTTTCTTAAAGCAGTGACTTAACGCCATACATAGCTAGACTTGCTTAGATGATAGACTTCATATAAGGCATCACAGATATTTCACAAACATGGTACCGGACCCTTAGCCTCATTAGCTTATTGCCTCACCACTTGCGAATTAAGCGTTGGCAGATGTAAATGTTACTGGAGATGTTGGTCCCGCCAGCTGTGGGTGTTCGGTATGGCTCTCCATAACCCGAACCCTGCAGTGAGTTTTCCTAGAGACGGAAGGGAGAAAATATCGTTCTGTGACTATGGAAAACCAAAAAATGTGGACAACACACCATTGTTTGGGTCTATTAATTGTAAATATGATTCAACTAGCTTAACCTAGATTTCGATATCCTCCGAATGTACATTTGGTGAAAGTATACATTTATCCCGAGACAAGGACGAATGTTTATATATAATTAAAAATGTAACAGCACTAGTATCCATTTTGTCTTTTGTCTTCTACCCGTCAGAACTAGATTAACAACTAGTCTCTGATATGAACATATTTTACAGAAAAAAAGTTGATAGTAAAAAAAGAATATTATATAAGGAAAAGGAGCCCTGAGACTTTCTCCTGAAGCTGTGAAAATCTAGACTTGCCACATTTTGTAGACTTGCGTGGGCTTGGATATATTTGCTTCAGGGTCTGTATGACAGACGACGTCCCAACACACGCTCAATCGCATGTGTCTCCAGGTCAAGGAGAATCAGTGGTTAGAGGCCCGTATTGCAATTCTCGTGCGTTTGCCAGGCACGTAGCTAGCCATGTCTTTCGTGCAAGCAATATGAGCTGCAAAGCCTTATATTTAGGTGGTATTGAGGGCTTGTCCAACTTTCATGTTTTGTGAGACCTGAAGAGTTATCGTTTGACGGACGGAAGTCTTACCACCATGGAAATTCAAGTGTGATTTCCTCATATACAAATATGTTTGGACATATTTTATACATGTCAGCTGCATTGATACAATACCTTACATCGAGTATTTGGTGTTTTTTCTAAAATAATTGATAAACAAATGATAAATAAACAACTGCATTTCAGTGATGATTCACATATAATCATGACTGTAACAAAACATCCTCATACATGTCGATGGAAAAACAATCATCACTGAAAGCTATGATATGAAGAATAACCTGTTTACTGTAATTTACTGTAAATTATTTTTAGCAAAGATCATGTGAATGCTCGAGCTGTTTTTATAATGGTAGCTACGTCCCTGTTTGTAAGTGTTGTTGACGCGGCATGGACTGCTTGTAACATCACTATTTGATTATGATTCACAAACACATGCCCACGATATGGTCGGAATCGTGCCAAGGATTAGCAGATACATCATGAAAACAGGTTTTTATGTAGCTGACTTGAAACTCGCTTTTACAAAGGCCTATAGGTTCGATCACAATACATTTCGTTTTACAGCTTCTCTTTTCTTAACATGCTCACGTCAAAACTGATTTAAATTCTAATCACAGATTAAAGAACAACACAATAAATAGTATGCCAAATTATCGTTACCATGACAACCCTGTGATATTTCACCTTATGTAAGAGAGTAATGCAGATGATACTGTCGGCTGTAAATTTTGATAAGTTGCTTCATCGCTATCAATAAACACTGGGTATCTATACAATTATATGTGTGGTCAAAGGCCATATGATAGATTATGTGGTCTCTGGTGTGATGGAGGAGAACTTGCGTCGCTAGTTTTCTCGATAATCTGAACACATGTATGTAGAGTGAAACCGGCAGATACTTTAGAATAAAGTGTTTGCCCTACCTGTAACAACGATGTCCCGTGTCTATAAAAGGGATATAATGTGGAGATGAATGACATGTACTTTTGTCTTGGCCCGTTTATGAAGATACATACTGCGATCTTTCACAATAATCCCTCTGGCTATCAGATTGAAGGTGCGTTTTAAACATAACCGGTATTTCTATTATTGTATTTATAAAGTTCTTCGAACGTTCTCCATATACGTCCGTCATATACATCGCGCACTACCCTTTCCTCTTTTGATCTTCTCAAACGACTGTTACAAGTTCGAAGAATCTTGGTCAAAGTAGAAAAGTCTTAAGACTATTCCCTACAATTCTGTAACTTACACATTGTACCCTAAATGGGTAGAGCTTTCGTTCGGGGGAATATCAGAAGGACAACGATAGAGTTATTTCCAATGTTGTAGAAAGATCTCCACTTACTTAGGAAAACACTGAGATATTGTATTCATGTCGGAATGATATTTTAAGCCCCTGTCAGATCAGAACCTGAACATGCGATGTCCGCGTCTGTGGACCCGTGAAGGTCCGGGGTAGGAATAGCCCTTCAGCAACCCATGCTTGCTATAAAGGCGACGATGCTTGTCGTAAAAGGCGACTAACGGGATCGGGTGGTCAGGCTCACTGACTTGGTTGACATATGTCATCGGTTCCCAATTGCGCAGATCGATGCTCATGATGTTGATCACTGGATTGTCTGGTCCAGACTCGATTATTTACAGACCGCCGCCATATAGCTGGAATATTGCTGAGTGCGGCGTAAAACTCAACTCACTCACTCCGCGTCTGTGTCAGACTAAAGGCCTGTAAGATGTTTAGCAACACTGGGGCGTAATAGCCATAGATCTTCTCCAAACAAGGGAATATACATCTTGTGAGAATGACTTCTTCGACAGGGAAATTTACAGCAATGCGACATCACAATTAATTACGCGATATTTACTCGCAATCTGAGTTATGGATCGTCAATTTAAACAGGACAATATAGACGAATTTCCCAAAAGGCACGGAGATCCAACATGTCTATGATATACTCAGAGAACGCACCCGCCTGTGCTATCCGGTCATAATCGCTACTCGATGAAAACAATTTTTCATTTCATGTCTCACAGAATATATAATTTGATATGGCATTGTTTCTTATTGTATACTTTTGCGTTAGTGAAACAAACTTTAAAGTTTATGTATGGCGTTTATTACAGCAAGTGCAATAATATTCCAATTATGTACTGCCATAATTATTGTACAGTAGTGATGGGCGAGCTGAACAGACTTAAGAAATTACGAGTTGGTTCGTGTAGCATATTTGACTGTGCTCCAAGAGAGACAAAGTGCTATTCTTTTGGGGCAGCTAGGGACACTTGCTAGGACAAAGGGGCAACGCATCGCCCTTTGTTCACCACTGAACCTTTCAATCCCTCGAAACATGCACCTCACAAGATTTGCCAACACCACAGACAAGGCGTAACTGATACTGGTAGCAAGAGCGAGTGCAGCTTAATAAGGCGTGTTAACTTGCGTAATACCGCTTTCTTTGTCAGGCTCTTTGGTGATAAGAATATTGAGGTCATGTGAACGTTGATTTCAAACGTACTAAAATGTGTGAAAGTGAAATTACATGAGCCAAGTAATTCACATGATGGAAACATTTGATCTTCTTGCTTGAATACAGGTAACATGATGGTGTATGAACCGTTCATATACATACCCCTGAAATCCGGTATGATACATAAATATCTAAGGTGTGTAAACATTTGCAAATTTGAAAATTTACTAAGTAAATTGACATGTTTCCAACCCGAGTAAACTTAGAACGAAATCGGAAATTTCAGCACCCACTGAAATTCAAAGGAATACATTGGAAATACTGTATGATCATGTATTTACCGGGGTATCTGTTTTGCAATTCATATTTGGAAATCCCCGACAATCCGGTCAGGGCATACATGAACGAGGTGCTTGTGCATACGAAAATGTACGATGAGCATATGTTTCAAAGGTATAGATTCATATGAAATATATGCCCGAAGTTAGGAAATATCTGAAAACATACGTAAACCCGGTCATGGCATGTATTTCCTACTGTATTTACGTATATTTCAATGGTTTACTATCCGGTTTTTGGTGCTGTGCAAGGGTGTGACGATCTGGAACATCAGGCACAAAGTATATATATACACTCAAACACTCTTGTGCCGTACTTTATTGTGTCGCATTCACGACTGTCTTGAAGCAAAATCTTTTTTAAAATGTGAAGTTCATATTCTGTTTGTCAATGCGTTGTGTCCACAACATAATGCTCATCACCATTTTCAGTATTATGGTTTGAGATTGAGTATTGAATGATATTGAAGATCGTCTGTGAAATCAGTATTATGTCAAGTTAAGACCTCCAGAGAGTTATCCATACGCCCATACATAACCAAAGACCTAGACCTATCCTCTGTGCAGATCGGTGAATACCTGACCACCAAGTACGTGTTGTGGTTGGACATGCGATCCACGGATGACGATAAATTGCACGGCAGCGGTCGCCGCATCGAAAACGGCAGCGAGGGGATTACAATCCAGATTACCAAGAAGGCTCAACCCACGGGCAAGTTGAAATTATATCTGTACGTTATTATAGACGCGCAACTTAATATAGACAATGGGAGATTCGTGCAAGTCATCTACTGATTTGCCTGGCAGCAGGCCATTGCCTGCTGGCGGCATTGTTTTGCCCCACGACCCGCACTTCACCATAGTGTGTGGGCAGACGGGCTGTGGGAAGACCGTTTTCGTGCTGGATATGTTTGAGGGGTACTACCGGGATGTGTTGGATAACATCGTTATCATGTGCCCTACTCTGCATAGAACGTCCACAGAAAGACCTTGGGTGATGACGGACCCGGACGTACACAAAGTCGACCCGGGAACACGTCTGCAGGACTGGTTGAAGGCTTATCACAACAAATTCAAGGGGGAGTCAACGCTGTTCATACTGGACGACTGCAGCGCTAATCGTGAGATAACAAAAGAGAGACACATGCTTTCGTACCTGGCCTTCTCCGGCCGGCACGCAAAGCACAGCGTCTGGGTACTAACGCAGAAGTTCAACTCGGTGTTGAAAGATCTCAGGGAGCAGACGCGATGGGTGGCCTTATTCAACTGCAAGGATAGGGATTCGTTCGAGGAGTGTTTGAGAGAGAACGATGTGATGAGCAAACTAGAACGGGAACGGGTAAAGAAACAGCTCGCTGAAACTAAACATGCTAAGCTCGTGCTCAAGACCGACCAACCCGTGTTTTAGCTTAGCAATGCTTAGCAAAGCTTAGCAAATGCTCAGCAAATGCTTAGCAAAGCTTAGCGAAGCTTAGCAAATGCTTAGCGTTTAGCACTTATCAGTTATAGTTATAAACTGAGGGGCAAAAGAAACGTCCCCAAAGTAAAATTGTAAAAAACATTTCTTCTGTTTTCGTTATAACGGAAATTTATTTAGGAACACATCTCCCGAACGCATCCCCACGTCTCACAGAAAGGAAATCCACGTGGAGTTTTTTGTAAGCATGAAAATTGCTTTTATTCACGTTTTTTGCATGCTTCTGTGGAAACATACCCGTATGAAAGTACAGTATAAAAATTATGCTCGACTGTTCTGAATTCATCACTTCAATACGTTGGACACAAAGAACATGCCTCGACTCACGGCAGAACAGAGAGAACGAGCTATTGGGATGTTGCAGCTGGGTGCTTCTCACAGTCACGTTGCAAGAATCATGGGTTGCAGCAAGAAAACCATCACCAGACTGATGACACGCTTCAGAACAACAGGTCGGACTGCAGACAGGCCTAGGACAGGAGACCACCCGTAACCACCCCTCAGGAAGACCGCCATTTACGGGTGCTTCACTTGCGCAACAGATTCCTGACTGTGACGTCATCAGCAACAACCAGCCTTACCCATCCAGTCAGCAGAAGGACCATATCCAGACGACTCCGCCGATTCGGTATCAGAGCCTACAGACCATTCCGGGGCGTGACGTTAACGCGTGAACATCGACGTCGTCGGTTGGCTTAGGCACGTAGAGTTCGGCAGTGGCAGCCGCGGAACTGGCGCCGGGTACTCTTCAGTGACGAGGCGCTTCCAGTTGAACAAAGCTGATGGTCGGGTACGAGTCTACAGACGTCGGAACGAACGCACAGCACGTTGTTGCGTTCAGGAAGTTGAGACGTTTGGCGGCGGTAGTGTGATGGTGTGGGGGGGATTTTGTGGCGAGAGGAAGACTGACTTGTTGGTGATAGAGGGAAACCTGAATGCCCGTCGATACATTGATGTTGTTTTACGACCTGTCGTGTTACCCTTCCTCCAGCAGAATCGAGGCGTGTTGTTTCAGCAGGATAACGCTACTCCCCACTGCTGTTGTTACCCGGAACTTCCTGAACAACAACAACGTAAACGTCATTCCTTGGCCAGCAAGATCCCCCCGATTTATCACCTACTGAGCACCTATGGGATCATCTCGGCCGTCAGGTTAAGCAACGTCAACATCCCACACAGACAGGAAACGCTTTGGCTCAAGCTCTACAGGAAGAATGGCGTCGCATCCCACATCACGTGATCAGACGTCTTGTGCACTCTGCACGACGTCGTGTGGCAGCATGTATCGCTGCAACAGGTGGACACACTCGCTACTGAGGAGTTGGACACTCAAAGACACTCTGTCAGTACTGATGTGCATGTGTTGTCATGATCGAAAACCGGACATTTGAACCTCCTGTGAAAAACGTCACAAAAACTCTACTTACAGCAAATTGTTTCAATTGTTCTGTAATGACAGTCTGCATAATATGTTCAAAAATTATATCAAACATTTCAACATTGAATTGCACGTGTTTGTATCATTTTATGATACAAAAATGATCGGGGACGTTTCTTTTGCCCCTCAGTTTAGTTATGGTTGTTTTTGAAGTGCTAGCCGTGTGCAACTTAACCTTCATTTCGCTGTGTTTAGCCTGCATCGGGTATTATATTATTAAAGCTAAAACTTACTTATTACATTATAAGATGGAGTGTGATGAATTGCTAGAACAACTGTTGGAGGTGGACAATGATAAGCGATGGGACGATGATAGGCGAGAGAGAGACTGGTAGTGTTGGCTGTTGGTGGCAAAGCCAAACATTACTTTGGGGACTACACTCCCGATAAAATTCACAAAATTTCAGCCGAAGAAATCGATAAGCTGTACGCTAGATACGAGGCTAGACTCGGGGCCGAGATGACAAAGACTATAGGATCAGCTATGACCCAGATATACACTGGTATTGCGTCGTACTTCCTTCCCATTCCCCAGGAACGCCGACTTTACCTGTGGGAGGACCTCGAGAAAGACCCTTTTATTGCACATGCCTTGAGCTCTATCAGCTGCGTGCTGTACCACAAATACGGTATGTGTTTAGCCTCGATGACGGCGGCGATTATCACAGCAAAGCATTGCCAATTTAAGGAGGGGAAAAATAATAATAATAGTATACAAGATGGATGCTGCCCAAGAAATGAGTCCCCACATGGAGGAGACCCCAACGTTGGGGGAACCCCAACTGGAGGTGACCCCTTCAGAGGAAACCCCACCCCAACTGGAGGTGACCCCTACAGTCACCAGACAGAAGAACCCTAAGAGAGTAGCTGCTGGTAAAAAAGGGTATGCTCGGTTGACCAAAATGGTGCTTAAACAACCGACTATCAAGATAGATTTCAACCTTCAGGATATGGGTATGCTCATAATGAACCTCGTATGGCGATGGCCACCAAGGACATCCTAGTAAAACAAGGGATCCTACCGGAAAATATTTTGAAGTAAATATAACTATATATAGGATGGCTACGATCGTCATGATGGTTGGTGGGGCGTTAGTAAACGCCCTGGCATTTTCCGGGAGTAATTTCCTCTTCTCGAAACTAGATAGAGGCTGAACGAAAGCGCCACGACATAGCCGTGGAACGATTACAAGCAGCACAATCTGAGTATGCGAAAAAACGTGTACAGAGGATCGATTACATTAACGAACAACTCAGGCGTGAGAACCATGCCGTTAAAACATTCCATGATGTCGACGACGCAGCGAGAGAATACTACCTACTAACCAGTAAACAGCTAGAACCACTCCATAAGCCCACACTCACTCAGTACTACACACCATCCCTGGGACAAAAGGACCGGGAATTGATCTTTATCGCGCTGGGTCTAGCAGCGACTGCGCTGGTTGCAAAACAATTAGACTGAGTACTCATGTAAGTATACCAAAGATGAGACCTGCCCCGTACCGATGCCAGTACATACTGAGGGGGGAAGCCTGAGACCTGTGGTAGGAAATGCAGGATGGAGGGGTATTGCTGTTTTCATAGAAAATGTTTTGTGAACTACACGTGTTCAGTGTGCGGTATTGGAGTGAGATGCCACTATCGTTTATGTACAGACCACGGGGCAAACGTAGTCAGGCACCATCTTATCTACGAGAAGAAAAAGGCCTACATAAACGAATGTATGCGCCTCCTTAGCATGGAGGTGGGGCTGGAGGAGTTGCCTCCAGTGACCCAATTAGAGACTGTGTACACATAGGTATAATGATGTTCGTGGAAGTTGAGCCTAGGGAAAGTCGTTGCCTGAGAAGCTGGCAGATGGATGCGGGGGGAAGTATAGATATCAGTGCCCTCAAACCCATGATTGTCAGCGAACTATATAAGGGGTGCTCATTTACAATCATGGTGAAAGTAGGGTTTGATGTACCGTGGGCTGCTGAGCACACTTGGAATTACTTTGATGGTGGACGAATAGATGTGCATGGGGAGATAGATATACTTGTTGACGACTCGTTGCAAATAATACAAAACACGCTACTATGCTGCACATGTTCCGGGTGGGTCGAGGGTATAATCGATAAGGTCTATCTAGATATTTATTAAAGGATTTTATGGGCGGCTCACTATTTTTTATCAAGGTTGGAAGAGTTACCTCCCTTGCCGATGGCCCAATTAGAGATTGTATACGCTTTGGTGTAACAATGTCTACTACTCGTGAGCTCAAGCAGATCGACAGGCACCGTGGTGTAATTGGTTATTCTCGAATGACCAAACCAGCATTGTTGAGATTACTTAACATACAAGCCCCGCCCACGGTAAAACAACTAAAACTCCAAGCAAAACAGCTAGGGTTGACGGGTTATTCCCGCCTGGGGAGAGCCGGGTTAGTCGCATTATTATTACACGACCCCGTAGCAAATTCCCACACTGTAAAACAACTGAAAGTAGAGGCACGCGATTTGGGTTAGTAGGTTATTCCCGTATGAGGAAACCACAGCTTGTAGAACTATTACGGCAGAATAAAGCTATTGACCTAGAGTTCATGCGCACTGAGCGCGCTGTAGGTAACTATTTGACAGGCTGCCGCATGCATGTTGATAGGAACATAGACATCGCCGATATCAAGCCTCTAATCCCTGATAAAGTCAATCAGGAACTCAACGATTTGGGAAGTATAAAGTTTCAAATCACAGTGAAAATGTCGCTCGATAAACAGCAGGGCGCTGGGGTCACTGAGTACGTTCAGCCTTACTTCCGAGGTAAACAAGAAGTCGTGTCTCATACCGAGACTATAGACGCGTCAATCGATATCAGTTTTCAGCAGATACGAGAATACCTAGAACGCTACACACACATGGGGTCCGGGTGGGTCGTGGATAAAATCGATAATGTCAATCTAGACATAGCTAACAGAGGTGCCGTTCAGAGGTGGGTCGTACCTTGCCCCCTAGAGGCAAAACAGGCCATGGTCAACGTCAAGAATAGAGGAGACGATTGCCTGAGGTTAGCTATCAGGTCAGCCTTGTTTCCAGCTGACACTAATTCGAACAGGCCTTCCAGCTATCCCCAAGATGATGGGCTCAACTGGGATGGTATAGATGAGCCCACCCCCATATCCCAGATCACTAAAGTAGAAAAACAGAATAATATAGCCATAAACATCTTAGGGCACGAAGGTAACACAACAATAGTGCACAGGGTCAGTCCAATGTAGGGGAAACCCCAGCGCGTGATCAATATATTCATGACCGAGCGAGGTGATAAGTATCACTACACGTGGATAAAACACCTTAGCAGGCTGTTGCACGACCAGTCGAAACACGTTGGGAAAAAACACTTTTGCATACGATGCCTGCATGGTTTCAGCCGACCCGACCTGCTGGAATCACACCGGGGGGGATTACGAAGGTGTGGGGCGGACGGCCATACGAGTCGACATGCCTAAGGAAGGCGACAATATCCTAACATTCAACAACCACAAGAACCAAATGTCCGTGCCTTATGTCATCTACGCCGACTTTGAAGCCTTGGTCAAACCCATTGAGGCTGGGGGTACCCCCAACACACAAAAAACACAGGAGCACGAGGCCTGTTGGTTTGGATACGTGGTCGTCCAATGTGATGGGGAAACGAAAGCTCCCGTGGTGTACAGGGGTCCCGACGCTGCTGAAAAGTTTCTAAAGTGTTTGCAGGAGGAAGAGAAAAAAGTATTAGGAATGCACTATACACAGTCGCTCCCATGCGTATGACTCAAGCCGATCGGCTAGCTCACGTCTGCAGCACTCACTGCCACGTGTGTGATAGCCCACTGAACGGTGATTCGGTGAGAGATCACTGCCACGTCACCGGTAAGTATAGAGGCGCCGCTCACAGCTTTGAATCACCCCCAAGACAATAAACATCCCCGTGGTCTTCCACAACTTGAGAGGGTACGACTCTCAATTGATCATGCAGGCCATCGCGAAAGTCGACGGCAACCTGACGAACATCCCCAACAACATGGAGAGATACATCTCCTTCAGCTTGAATGGCCTGAGGTTCATTGACTCGGTTCAGTTCCTCCTGTCGTCACTCGACAGTCTGGTCAAGGCCAATGATACCTTCCCCATCACCGACCGATACAGACCTCGACGCCGCTGATGAGTCGACCCCTGCTGATGAGTACATGGATGGCTGGGGCAAGTTCACCGCCTACGAGTACATGGATGGCTGGGCCCAAGACGATTACTCGCACGCGATTAACGTATGGACCGGGTGACATCATGACCTGTAATTTGAGGACCCCCATCAGAGAATTTTAGGCAGCAACAACTGACCGACTTACACCACAATATCCTTGGATGATTGTTGATTACCGCACGCGATTAACGTATGGAATAAATTTCTGGGCTGTAAGAATGAACTTAATGAATAAGACCCGACCAACCAATCATATTCATATCGACGTTCACTATCGCCAACCTACAGCTGTACCTGTCATTGGGTATGAGGCTGACCCAAATACATAGGGTGCTCGTGTTCAACCAGAGCCCCTGGATGGAATAGTGCCCAACTTACATCAGAATGAACACGGACCTTGCGAAAATATGGCCACCCCCTGGTGACTTTGAGAAAACCTCTACAAGCTCATGAAAAACCTCTACAACTCGGTGTTCTCGGTGTAAGACTATGGAGAACCTGAGGAAACACGTGACCGTGAAGCTGGTTGGGTCGAATGAGGAAAGACAAGCTCAGGAGACTGATAGCCAGCCCGGCATTCAACCGAGCAAGATATTCACCGACGATCTGGTTGCCCTACACACATGAAGAAAAGCCACATAAAATTCAACCGGCCTGTTTATGTCGGGATGAGCATCCTCGATTTATCCAAACACCTGATGTACGACTTTTACTACAACGAACTGAAGAAACAGTATGGCGACATGTGTGAAGTGCTGTACACTGACACGGATTCCCTGCTGATGGAGATTCGAACCGAGGACGTGTACGAGGACATTAAAAAACGTCTCGATTTGTATGACACCAGCGACTACCCCAAGGACCATGCCATACACAGCACGGTAAATAAAAAGGTCCTAGGTAAGATGAAGGACGAGTGTGCTGGCACGCCCATAGCCGAGTACATAGGCTTGAGACCCAAGATGTACTCCAACCTGAAGGCCGACAATGGTGAGATCCGGAAGGCGTAGGGTGTTAAGAAGTACGTGGTGAAACAACACATCAAACACGCCAGATTCAATGAAGCCCTGTTCAAGACCCGTACCTTTAGACATAAAATGAACACGCTTAGAAGTGATGGGCATAGGATATACGGACTGACTATAAACAAGACGTCCCTGTCGCCGATGGACACTAAGCGTTGGATAGCTATTGATGGGATCAACACTTACGCGTACGGGCATGAGAAAATTGAACAAAGAACATAGGTGTATATATATACAATGTCACGGAACCAGAGAAAGTTTGAGGCTATTTACTACAGCCCACGTGGGTACTGGAAAGGAGCTAGCGCCGTACATAAGCTGGCTAAAATGGCGCGAGTACCCCCAGGTGAGGCCAAAGCGTGGCATGAAAAACAAGCCCTGTGGCAGATCTATTTACCGGCACCACGCTACGTGCCTAGAAGGAAGTTCGGTATTAACATAGCCAATAGCATTCACCAGGCCGACCTCCTATTCCTACCCCACGACAAGAGGTACAAGTATGCCCTAACCGTCGTGGACGTGGCCAGTTGCTACAAGGAAGCCGAACCCTAAACCGTGAAAGACTCGGTCCAGGTAGCCCGCGGATTCGAACACATATACAAGCGCAGTCCACTGACGTGGCCCACAGAGCTGCAAGTTGACCCCGGGCGGGAGTTCATGGGTGTCGTGTCACACCTGCTAGACAAACACGATACCAAGGTCAGGCGTGGCACGGCCGGAGCCCATCGCAGCCAAGCCATAGTTGAGAGATTCAATAGGACTTTGGCCGAGCGCTTATTCGGGCATCAGTATGCGAGAGAGATGACTAACCCGGGGAAACGATCGACTGAATGGGTAGCGCGGTTACCTCAGGTGGTGTCGGCCATAAACCACGAAACCACCCGTCGCATGGCGAAACCAGCCGGCGCTATCAAACTAAAATCAATTGTGGCTAAGTCGGCTGCACCATTGCGTTGGAAAGAGAAACAGATACCCGATAGGGCCCCCGTGAGGTACCTCTACCAGCCGGAGGAACACGAGGGTGATAGTCGTAAGCGAGCCACCGATCCGATATGGTCAGTCAAAACTTACAATATAGATAAAGTGGACATCAAAGCCGACGAGCCGAACTTGTACTACTTGAGAGATGGGCCAGGGAGAGGGTTCGTTAGACAGGAATTATTGATCATACCGTACGGCACAATGTTACCTCCTGTCAATACGTCATAGCAGCACAATAGTGCCCCGTGGGGTCGGGAAGTTAACTGGGGGTTCAAAAGTAGTAGATACAATGGTGGCGAGATCTAAGGGCCTGACAAAAGCTTTATACGTGAAATAAGGCTTTGCAGAGGCTTTTGTTGGACTTGATCTCGGACTATCATTATATATACTACTCTTTGTCAACACATATTTCCTGCTTGTAGAAGTTTTTAAAGTGGTACAAACAGAGGCACATGAGTAATCCCTTTCACTTTCATTGCAAATTAGCAGGTCGTTGTGTATATTTAGACTTCATGGATATATTATCAACGTATTATTATCGTCATGAAACATTGCCATTCTGAACTTTATCTATAGCGTGTCTCTCATGATCGTACAAGGAAAGTACAATCAAGTAACAAGTAAATATAGAATGTTTTGATAAACATTAATAGCACTTAAATAACGAGAAATTCCTACCTTTTCACATGTTACCAAAATCACCCCATAAAGTTGCCGCATCACCAGAAACTAATCTGAAGGATATGATTGTTCTGATTGTTTCATTCTTGCAATTTTATGAGTACAACGATGATGGTATAGTCTCTTTGGACATTTTGAATTTTGTTTTCATTTTCATGACAATTGCTATGTTTTGACATTTCATTTTCATTTTCATGACAATTGCTATGTTTTTACTGAACTCTAGGTGTTGTAAAGAATTTTTTGATCAGTGAGTTTAATTAGGATGCGATATCCCCATATGTCCTAAATGAACTTTTCTCCAGAGTATTGACAGGTTATAAAGTTTACAACCAATTTCAATCAAAGTCAAAGTTATTGCCATGGCAACGAAATAATATGTATTCAGAAATCCAAAACTACTAAAAGGCACCAGTTCACAACCAGACCTATCTGTAAGCCAAGTTTAATGAAAAAAACATTGAATGGTTTGAAAGTTCTGCTCCGGAAAAGAGCACTATCACTAATTTCAGTCGAAGCCAAAGTTGTTGCCATGGAAACGCAAAACATATTTTAGTCAGAAATCGCAAACTACCAAAAGACACCAGTTCACAACAACCCCTATCCATGTGCCAAATTTAGTGAAGAAACACTGAACGTTTTTTTACGTTCTGTTCCGGAAAAGACGAATTTGCAGGGACGAACGCACGGACATACGGAGTCCAAACAATCACACACAGCATGAACATCGTTCTACGCAAATGGGATACGATGACATGTGTCAACCAAATGAGCGAGCTTTGCCACCGATCCCGTTAGTCGCCTCTTACGACAAGCATAGGTTGCTGAAGACTAATTCTAACCTTAATCTTCACGTGTGTTGTCGATGGCAAGTGGTGCTCTGTACTGATTTAACGTCACTGAAAGCTATATATCCAAGGAGCCCAGGAGCACCAGATTTTTCGACGACAAGCGTGGCATCATTGCTGCCTAAAAGCACTGGGTTAAACGTTTTGTTCTTATTTTACACAGGTATGTAATATTATATGGCGTTGGGGTTTACAGAGCTTTTACCAATATTCCAGCAATAACACGGCGGGGAACACCTAAAATTTATTTCTCGCATTGTACCCATGTAGTGAATTGAACCTCTGCCTTCTATGAATCCCTTTAGCACTAGGCTATCGTAATGCTCCGACAGGATATTTATGACCAGGCGGAATAGGCGACGCCAAAGGTGATAAATTGTAACCACCAATTTGACTTTTGGGACTGTCAGTTAAGACCTACTTAATTCATAGTATCTTAAAATTGTCACGAGGGTTGTATCTGTCCCGTTCAGAGTATGAGCATTATACGAGTATTATACGAGCGCCTCGTGTGATACAGGATTACTTCACTTTGTCCACGTGAGGCACCAGGTTTTGTCATTCTTGAAAATTTGGCCAATGAGAGACACACAGATATAACATTAAATCCCAATGGAGCTGGTCGATGCTTATGATGTCGATCACTGATTTAAACTGACTGACCGGTATCATTTGGATACAATATTCATGAGATTGGCGTGATAAACAAAGAATGAAAATACATTTCATATTTTCGTGGGTTTGTTTTGAAAGTATCTGTTACATTAATTTTGTATTGCTGATAAGGTGAGGGTACAAACCTACCATAATTGTGAGATGTCAGGTGCATGTGCAGAATGGTCAACGAGTAAAGGGAGACAACTCATGTGTTCTTATGTTCATGCACCCGAGGGATGACACTGCTACAAAGAGGCGTACATCAGACCGTATTACCCTAGGGAGAAGCCTACAACGTATCCATGTTAAATGTACAAACTATCACTTTATTTTACTTTAAAGATCGCTACCGACTATTATGACATGTATACAAAATGGCTTTTGCCCCTCGACTGGATTTTTAAAATCAGTGAAACATATTCTGACAAGGTTAACAACGCTCTAAAAATGGATAATTATGTTTAAGCTGAGTGTGCAAACGATTCAATGTATCAAATAGTTTAGATAAAGCAGTGAAAGTCGGTAAAATAAATCTGTACATAGTGAACTCAAAAACAGCTAATCGAATGGTTTTAGAACTACGGACACTGCATGCGTCATATTATGACGTCATACGATTGTTAGCGATACAGCTTCTCGGTGAAGAGTTTGGCGGTTACCTTGGCAGCGGGTAATATTTTTCCAGTTGTCACTCTCCTGGAAGAGGTGACCAGGAAACTTGTTAAAGCGTCATTGACCAATGAAATTAAAGTATTTCACATGAAGGTAAGGTAAAATATATTTGCTGATTATGAAAAAACAAATAAACAAAATTATAAGCGTACAATCGCAAATCAAAAGTGAAATATTTTGTACTTGGGTTTACTTCCCTCGAAACGAAGCACCCGGGATACCGAACCCAGTCAGAGCGGGTGGGTGTGCACACAAGTGTAACGAAGCCTTTCATTGGCTGGCTCATTTGCCGATACACTCAGGGCTCTTTGTGTGTGTATAGAAATATTGGGTTTTGAGTAATTTTTTGTGTATACCATTTTGCAATCAACAGACATCATAACATGTCAATGTGTACAGGTATCACATCTGTGTCATTACACAATATGACACATAATGTAACAGAGACAGAACTCTGAGTGCAATTACATAATGTAACATAGACCATAAAGCAATGCGTTTTGTTTATGGTGTATAGCCTGATAGGTGTTAAGTTCAAATTACGTGTGGTCAGTGATCGAAGTTGTGTATTGCATATTGCCAATGGCAGACAAGCAGGCAGACACATAGGTGTTAATAAAACAGACATTGAGTTTTGTCTGTGACTACGACATATCTATATCACAGTTAGACATTCTGACAATGCTAAATAATTAAATTGCTTTTCAGTATCGAACTGAGAAAGTGACACGGTAGGAACAACGTCTGGTGAAATAGTCAAATGAAAGTATATGAACAGTTAAATCGGTAATATACTGTCATAACATAAAAAGCTCGCGCCTGTGAAACATCAACACAACAATTAGAAAAATGCACACATCAAAGCCTACTCCGAGTTTTCACCGCCAGCGAAGGTTTTCCGCCTTAAAATGTCGAACGCATCACTGGTTGACATACCTGAGTAGATCTAGATCTTTACCAGGCTTCTTTTATGTAACGAGCAGATTATTTACCATTTGTTGTTTTTCGCCCCAGCTGGGATGAATTTAGTGAATCGTTTGAACTCCGATTTCGCGGGGTTTTTTCATGGCGTTATTTTTCAACTTTATAAGTTGAATTTTCATTATGGATTTGTTACTATAAGTCCATACCGAGAGGTATCAGAATCTGCAGAGTTGTGTTTTACGTGTGCACGTGACCTTTTAACAACAATTATGATTAATGAAGTTGCAATGATCAATGATTAATGAACGGGGTACAATGACACTCCATCAACCCATTAAATCCCTTTCCTCATACTACCGGAAACTATTGAAACCCTATTTTGACCTGGGGTGATATACTGAGCGTTCCAGAACTGATGGAAGTCCAGTTAATAGCAAACGAAACGACAAACTTTCAAAAACCAAAACATATCTGCATACAGTTTCTCAACCTATCAGTAAGGTTGGAAGATATTGTTCTACATGCATGGACACTAATTGAGACATATTGTTTTACGGGTAAGCAGGATAATCTATCTTGTTACACGTGTTCTACTTAATAGTGTGGGAGTGAATGACTTTGGTTTTGCGCAACATTCCAGCAATATCACGGTAGGGGACACCAGAAATGGGCATCACAAATTGTGCCCAAATGGGGAATCGAGCCTGGTTCTTTATCGTGACAAGCGAACCACAAGGCTACCCAACCGCCCTCTACTTAATAGAACATAGGACGGGCATATATTGATCTTCACAGTGAACACTTCCATAGTTAAAGGGACAGAGCGAACGATCGATGTATCACATGTCTTGTATATTTATCATCTAAGTCCAAAAGAACATCCAACTATAAATGTAAGATTTGTCCAAGACGTGCAAGTGTATTTGACGTGATACACAGGGAGAGTCGTAAGGCAACGGTTAGACTGATTGAAGTGTCGTAAAATTACGATGATGATATCAAATCCTTAAAAGCCCCTTAAAAGGGAGTAACAGTTAATTGATCATATTCTAGATATAACTAATGTACCAGCAGATATATTTCAAATAAACACGTGGTGGGCTAAACTGAAATGTGTATGCCTAATGAACTGAAGCGTCAGTAAAAGTGCTGCTGACCGCGTCCTCTGACTATGGTGGTTGAAAAGAGCTCTGACAGGTGTATACATTGCACACTGCAATGATTCTTGACAGCTGAATTGAGAGAGTAAATTTTGTTAGAACAGCTTTGATGAGGATTTCAGCTGTATCACCAGGGGTCAGTTTAATGTGTGATTATATCCCGATGTTCGACGTTCAAACATTCAGATGTTCAGACCACGAGGTGACGGTGACAACAAACTTTGATTGACTTACAGTCAGAAAGTTAGCGATAGCTGAAGATGTGTTGCTAAGATACTAGCCTACCGATACTGTCGGTTTCTAAATGTCCAACAAATGGTGTATATGGTGAAAATGTTTCTACGGAACGAATTATGAAACCCGTGAAGATCAGGGTTAGAGTTGGTCTTCAGCAACCCATGCTTGTCGTGGGAGGCAACTAACGGGATCGGGTGTACAGGCTTGCTGACTCGGTTGACTCATGTCATGGTATCCCAACTGTGTTGATCGATGCTCATGCTATTGATCACTGGAATGTCTGGTCAGGTCTCGATTATTTAGAAACCGCCGCCATATAGCTGGAATATTGCTGAGTGCAGCGTCAAACAACAACAAAACACACAAAAAACAACAACAAAAAACAACAACGAAAAAATCCACACAACATCAACGAAATGTGAATGCATCGATCATAATTACTGAATGGGAACAGATACTTTGTAAGATATATAATCAGGCAGCAAATTTGAAATTTTCACCCAGTCTAATATCTAAGGATAACTGCTGTGTATGAAAGAGTAAAGATTTGTATAAGGATGGATATTATGGCTTTAATGGTAGTGCATATTGTGTTCTACATGTTTTGCTGTACTTTGTCTCGCCCTCTGTTATTTTGAGTTGGTCCCAAGCGACATATGCATGTTTGTCGAACGTCGCGAGGTTTGGTCTATCTGTATTGTGTCATCGTATCCTGTCGACGTGACATGCTCATAACATCATTCCCTTGTCCAGACATCTCAAATGTACTAGGTGTCGCCGTCATTCTGCTTCAAACTTCTGACGGTTGCGTTGATATTAATTTGCATAAAACATTTATATTAATTTCTCGTCGCTGTATGGTAGACACACTGAATATAATACGTGTAATGGTCACTAACTTTCAATAGGCGACTGCTAAAACGTCATTAAATATACCCAGATAGTCAAAACATTGCAGGTGATGTTTATTCCCAAAGATGTACAAATATCAGGGGAAAATATATCATCATATACTGTATGTATCTTCAGATTATATTAAATTTGAATTGTTTGTCACTGTAAGTAAAAAGTAGATAACATTTACTCTTTGTCAGTGGTCACTGGGTGAGAGGTCCACGTCATCAATAACATGTTATCAGCGGTCAAAAGTATACAGGGGGAATTTTATCTTTTTACCTACAGCGAGATGAAATCAATCAGTATCAATAATATAACAGTCAGTCATCAAATAGGAATCAATATTCGTGACAATAACACACACGAAGTTATCATTACAAACTAATACTGAAGAATATAATTTTTAGTACATAGATATTTCTACAAATAACAATTTAATTTGGTGAAGATATCACCTTAATTACCAAGAAATGAATATTGTCGTATCCCATATTCATTATAAATTTATGCTAAAAGTGGATTTCAAATTAAAATCGAACTCGTCACAGGAAGAAGAAAGTGAGAACAGTCATCCCCATTAGGAATGCGGACTACTTCACTGTCTCTCCACCTGCAAGAGAGATAGTGGGTGAGTGAGTGAGTGAGTCAGTCAGTCAGTCAGTCTTGTTTTTAGTAAGTCTCAGTCAGTGTCAGTGTCAGTCAGTCAGTCCAGTCAGTCAGTCAGTCAGTCAGTCAGTCACATTTGTTTTGTAACCTAGGTGTCCTGGTCTCCACCAAGTACATAACTGAATATTACATTGCAACGTTATTCTGATGATAAATATGGCATAATTCTGATTATGTACTTTCCGTGACCAAGAGAGGATCAGTTTTCGTAATTTCAAAAAACATGATGACCATAGTAAAAGGCTTAAAGGCTTCCAGACTTGTACTTTCTACTACACGAAAAAATCAATAATGAATAATGGGCCGTGTTCCTATCAGTCCCGAGATTTGGGGATGTTTAACTGCCCGTTTAACTGAAGACAATGGGAAATCTGCCAAATTCCTACTGGTGATGCTGTCTGGGATACTTCATAAGACTTGTACATGATCTCAAGACATGTATAATGGGTTATGTCATGTCGTCTTTACTGCAAACCAAGTAAAAACTTGCTACCTTGCAGGCATACAATGATGACAAACAATATTTGACTGTTATCGTACTTGGCCGCATTGTGCCTCAGCTAACGTTACTCATACTATCAGTCACAGCTGAATCTGAACTGACTCGGATGTGAACAGGACGCCGTCATAGAATATTGCTGGATAGCACTAGGATAATGGTCACTCGGTCGTTGTTGACGTTTATTATCCCTTTTTTGGCGAACGTACTTCCTGAGTATTGGTACGATATTGCACGTTATGACAAATTCAATAGTATTCATGGTGTGTTTGTGTATAGATCAGGAATATTTTCAAACATGCACAGAAGAAGCTCGCTTTTATGTAAGTAGAGGAAAACCGTATAAGAATATTTGAATTGTTAAACAATATTTGCATACTTTCCACGCTTGGAAATAAGTAACACACACGAGTAACCGTCTTCATCCACAGTCTGATTATGCATAAAGAGCTTGAGTGTTGTATGGTTGACATATCAAGGACAAATTGCTACCAGGCAGCCCTCGGCAAAATAGTGATCTCCACTTCTTACGTACACCATACACTGACATTAAACCAAACACAAAGAGCAAACTAAATTTTGAGAATACTATGCAAAACAAGATGACAACGACGTCACCACCAATAAACCCCATGCATTTTATATCACCCATCTATCAAACCTTAATTTTGTTGTCGGTCAAGATAAGGTGAGGTCATTTCACAATAGGGTAATGATAAGGATGCACCTTTGCTATTGACTGATTCATATAGGTCATTCTTCCGTGGTGTGCTTTCCCCTTTCCTTTTTCAGTGAACACGCGTCTATTTCGCAAGAGTCATCCATCAGACACAAGCAATCGAACAACAGAAAAGAGCAGTGATGAACGGCTCACCGTCCGTTACATTGCAGTTATCTGAGCAGAAACCTGGAACAACTGTCTTTTCCTCGTGCATATTACTTTGAATGGAATCGATATGTACTATTGTTTGAATAACTATTGTTAACAGCTTCCATCGCATATGATGAGAGATACAGAATGAAATTCCAAACCATGACCATAATATGATCAAAGTAATTATCACCA